CTCTGCGCTCCCAGACCCTCCTGCGCTTAGCAGGACTGGGACAGCGCGGAAACCGGCCGCACGACGGAAGACGCGGGAGCCGCCTGCTATTCCTGGGAGGGAGGGGACTTCTCTCCACACAGGGGAGCCCGTCCGGACCGAAAGGAGCCTGTTACCGAGCCCGCGGGCTGCCCCGCGGTGCCGGTTCCCTCCGGAGAACAGCCCGGACAGAGGAGCTGGGGGGCAGCACCCGCACTTCGGAATTCAAGCGCATACTTAAACTGCAAGGGCTCCCGCACTGTTTCCTCAAACGGGGTGGCGGGACGGGTTTTATAGCTTCCAGGCCACCATCCACGTCTGTGGCGGGTGCGATGACATGCAGACGGCGTGGCTGGGGTAGAATGTCGCGTGGAGACGCGGATGACGGACAGATCCTAAGGCAGCGTGAGCAGTGAAAGCAGGGGACCCACAGCCGGACGTGAGGATGAACCCACAGCCGAGCCAGGTCCCACACCTGGAGGGTATCCCCCAACACCCTCTAGGTCTGACCTGCGTCCCTCACTCCCGAAACCGCAGGACCCCAGGGACGCCTCCCAGGCCAGCGCTCTCCTTCCCCGAGCCCCTAAGAAGATGACCCGGGTGGTGAAGAGGCACCTCACCGATCCACCCTCTTCCTGTCTCTCTAATGGACTTTTTTTTTTCAGCAGTTTTGGTTTCACAGAGACACTGGGCAGAAAGCAGAGCTGCGCGTGCTCCCCACCCCTGGCCCAAGGTCCCCTGCTGTGAGCACCCTGCACCCACTGTGCTGCCTCTGTAACAACCCTGAGCCCGTATCAACCACACTGGTAGGCTGTTGTGAACGGAATTCCAGGTTTCCCTCCACATGTATCTGCTGGCCACAGTGTGGTTTGGGCAAACACACAGTGACGTGTGTCCACCATTTACAGCGTCACACAGCGCTGACTCGCTGCCCTCGAGTCCACTGGGCCTGGCCGGCTCCTCAGCCACCCTACCTCCACCGTGCTCTTACTGCCTGTATATCCTGCCCTTCCCCGTGTGGCCCAGCAGGGACCATCGGGGACCTCGGGCAGCTCCCTCTCTCCACTCCACCACCTGCGCGCCTCTCCAAGCTCAGCACCCCCAGCACCCCTCCACACTCCCATTCGGGAGTCACCCTCTCTCCTGTCCCCTCCGCCTCTTTCCCAGCTTTTCCCCCTATTCTGCCCTTCTCCCCACTCCTGGACCATCCTCAAGGATTCAGAGGTCGGCCGGTGACCCCTCTGGTTCTCCAGACAAACGACAGGGCAGTGTATGCACCACAAGGCAACCACAGTGCCACCGGGGTGGTGTGAGACCACGGGGCCTAAGATCTGCCCTGTCCACCCAAGACGCCACACAGAGGAAGGCCCTCCCAGCTCCATGCCCCAGGCAGGGATCAGGTCCAGGACAGACTTCTGACCCCAGGGCGCCAGACAGGGCCCACATCAGCACTGGGGCATCATTTGTCTGGAAGACTTCCAAATACAGGCACAGCCCTGTAGATCTGCGCTGCGTCTCTGCCAGGACAGGCCATACCTGCCGTTCAGTCCAGCTCCCTCTTTCCCTGCCCACCGCGGGGAAGAGGGCCGTTCCTGTAGCCTGAAAACCAGCCAGGTTCTCTGTGGCTGGCCCTGCTCTGCAGCTCCTCCCAGGACAAGGCAGGGCCTGTACCCCACCCCCCCATGGAGGCGGAGCCTGTACCCCAACCTCCCCAGATGAAGGTGGAGCCTGTGTCCCACCCCCAGATGGAGGCGGAGCCTGTGCCGCAACTCCAGATAGAGGCGGAGCCTTGCCCCCCCACAGATGGAGGCGGAGCCTGTGTCCCAACCCCACATGGAGGCGGATTCTGTGCCCTGCCCCAGACCTGGGCTTGGACCTGTGACTAGCCCTGGCCAACTGGCCAGCAGGGTGACCACAGGTCCACTGAGGCATAGACTGGAGGTGCTTATGCCAGGAACACATGGCCTGGTGGACTGCGGATGAAAGACCCTGGAGGACCAGCCCACTAACATGGTCCCGCTGCCCACCAGACATGGGAGCTGGGCGGACCTCTCGCTCTGAGCCCAGTGGGCGAGTGTTTACAGAAAAGCTCGGGGATGCTCCACTGAGTGTGAGACACCAGCACGCAGCAGGTGGGGCAGCAAGGGACACACACAGCTGGTCAGTGCCCGACACAGGCCTCCAGGTCACACAGATCCTGCCTTTTTAAGCCAGCTCCCTACTCCTCTGTTCCTGTTTAAGTTCTGTAGTGATGCCAGGACATGTACAACTGCCAAGCGGAAGGTGTGACGGGACACCGAGATACCCCAATACACCAAACCTGTAGATTAAAATCTTGTTACAAACCAGAAATTAAATCCAAATAGAAAAAAGAAAAGTTTTACCCATTTCTCCACTTCTAAATAAACTGGGAAAAGATCAATAGCCCCTCCCACTCTCAAAGGTAATTCTTGAGAGAGACAGGGATTGAGACCCCAGGCCCTGCTCTGAGTAACCTCTGATGTTTTCCCCAAGACCAAGGGCACACCCTCAGGACAGCCCAGGAGGAGGGCGGGGGCGAGGAAACAGGTGGAGGAGATGTGCCCAGGCCACAGGCTATGGGGTAGGGCAGGCCTGGGACAGGCAGGCAGGTGGCCCTCCACAGGACTGACCGCTGGAGGCGCCTGTGCAGACAGGGAGCACCCGGTCCCACTGCAGCGACCACTCTCTCAGCAGCACAGCCGTCGGGGAAGCTCGGACCACCAGCGGGCACTCAGCACATGCAGACACATCACCAGGTTAATCTCCCCTTGGCCAGTCCAGGCTCTCATGTCCAGGCGCCTGAGCCACAGGCCAAGCTGCAGACACTGTCTTGAGAAGCAGGCAGAGCCACGGGGGCGAGGGGCAGCCACTCGCTGGGGAAGCGCTGGGGAATGCTCCTCTGAGCCGTGCCTGGACGGACCATGCCTGACCCTGGTGCAGATCCTGGGACAGCACTGGCCTGGCCAAGGGGTGGCCTGGAGGATGTCACCAACTGTGCCGAGCAGGTCATGAGTTCACAACACCAACACAGGCTCCTACAGCTCTCTCTGCTGTGGATCTGCTCCCAAAGTGACCTTCAAGGCTCTGAAAGCCCCCTTAGTCTGGCCCTGACCTGAAACCTCCCCTCTCCCACCTTGCACAGCACTGTGTTGAGTTCCTGGGAAGATCCGGGGCAATAAACGTTACAGACCAGGTGGAGGTGGGGAGAGCGTAGCTTTTCTCTAAACACTCATTAAACCCTTGTTTCCTGAAAGCGGTGGGATTTGAGTCACTGTCACCAAGACCTCCACCTGCAGGCTCACACCACTGGCATCTGTAGGTGATTCCTCTGGGGTGGGGAGAGCCCTGATTCCGCCTCTCCCTCCAGGCCCCGTTGTGAGGTCGCCATCCAACGTGGGGCAATGTGAGGGACGCCCTCAGCCTTGGTGGGACCGCAGGGATAGAGAGCCAGCTCAAGGGAGCCCCTGCAGGTTCTCCCTGACTTTACCTCTAGCATCTCATGAACCAGGACTGCACTAGGATTAAACTAGGACTGACCCAGGACTCCTGAATAGGACTAAACCAGGACTGAAGCAGGAATAAACCAGGACCAAATCAGGACTGACCCAGGACTCCTGAACCAGGACTGACCCAGGACTCCTGAATAGGACTGACCCAGGACTCCTGAATAGGACTAAACCAGGACTGAAGCAGGAATAAACCAGGACTGAACCAGGGCTCATGAAACACGACATCTGAAGCAGTGCTCCCAGGACTGCATTCTGGTAGATGTGACCCCTCAGCCCTCAGTAACCTTGCAGTGACCGAGCCTCATGTCAGCCCGTTGCCCAAGGAACCTGGACCACGCTGGGGGAAGCCGGTACCTGGTAGGGCCCACAGGCCACTGTGGGGAACGCTGGGGAACTGCAGACCGGAGGGTGAGGTCCAAAGTGGGGCTGGCAGCTCCCCTGTCCCTGGGCAGTGGCTGTGGCGGATCTGTGTCCCAGGCCCCGAAGGCTCCCCACGCAGCCCACTCTGGGGCCAATCGGGTGCCGGAGGGGCAGCCCAGGCAGCAGCCAGAGCCAGTCCGGGTAGATGCGGGCTGGGCTGAGGCGCCCCCACGAGCACGCCCAGGCTGCGGTGAGTGCAGGATCTGTGAACGCGGGTGGGGCCCTCCCTGTGTGGGAGGGTGAGAGGACAGCACCACATTACCAAGAAACCTCCTCGTTCCACTCATTAGGAAGAGAGATTCTTCCAGCCATTTCAACAAGGCAAACCCTTGAATGGTGATAAAAAGTTCTGAAAAGTTTCTCTCCTTCCTGCAGAGATTCTGGTCAATGCCAGCTACAAAAACCAGAAAGTGTTCTTTGCTGAAATATCAACAGAACTGAAGGTAGCCAAGCACAGCCCCACTGTGGAGACACAGTCACCGGGCAAACTCCAGGCTCCCGTCAGAAACGCTCTCGGAACCCCAAGCTTCTGATCTGCGTGTTTCCAGGTCCTTTCTGTCTGCAACACGTCCACCTCAAACATCACAGCACTGTCAAAGTAAATGAGTGTGTGTGTGTAGGGACTGGAACGTGTACGCACCCGTGGTCACATACG